CTATTTTTTTGTGGAGCTATGTTAAATGTAATGTCTATACAGACAAGTCCACTTCAATTGACGCATTGATGGAGAACATTTAAGTATTTGTTCGTGAGATAGCAGCCGAAATGTTGGAAAGAGTATGCCAAAAATGGGCTAAGCGGATGGACCATTTGAGACACAGTCACAGTCAACATTTGCATTAAATAATCTTCAAACATTAAATTATATGGACTGTACTATCGATTCAAATAAAGATTTCATGCCTTTTTCTGAATTTGATAGGTTTTTTTTATTTAACTTTACTCTGGCTCTAAAAAAATCACCTTTAATAATTGCTTTATGACAGAATTGTATAGTAGGATGATATGACTCTATGATAATAAATTTGGTTGGCGGTTTTAAGTTAGAGGTGCTGTATTTTAGCAGAAATATGTGTCTTTCCGGTCAGTCGCTTATTTGGATATTATTTTGCTTTGCTTAGCCTCTAGTATATTTGAGGCTTTGATTTGATACTTGCAATAACATAAAACAATTATTTCGCCAGCGATATATAGAATTCGTCAAAAAATGCTGCCTGCTCCGAGATAAATTCCTTTATTTCAACAGTAAACTGCCTGTTGAAAATTTATGATATGAATGTGTAATGGAAGTTTTCTGTTACTGGCGCTCGCATATTAAGTCAGAAGCCGTTCGTTCGATCCCTGCCATAAGAAGTCTGATGAGAAGATGAGGTCTGCAAGACCTTTTCAACTCAAACGCCTTTCTGATCTCATTGGTAATGCAATGGACTTGTACTGTAGTACCTAAATGAAACGGTACTTGCCGGCGCCAGTGAAGAAAGAACTATAAGCCTTCTACAAAGCGTTGTACCCAAAAACCCCCAGTGTGTCGAATGTCGAGATCGTTTAGCCTCCCGCACTTTACAGCAGATTAGGCATGATGTGCGACTTGTTGAATTTTGTTTTTGTTTCTATTAGGAGAAAAACTCCTCAATTGTCTATGCAGTACAAAGTAACACTTGTTGACTAGTTGGATTCTGGGTTTGATTTCCGGTCTGACCTTACTAGTGGTGATAATGATTGAATGAGTGTAAAGAGCCAAGGAAAATAGCCAAGGGTAGGTAGATAGGTGCGTAGATGACGTGAACATCTTGCTACGCATCGAGGCCTCTCGGATACCAATTGAGATGACAGTGGGACCGATGTGCCCTTACATTACCATGTCTTCTCTGAATAAACCTGTTGTTAAGTTATATTGTTTAATTTGAGCAACTTCTGATATATCGTCAAGCAAATCGATGCCGATAATTGCAACGCCTTTTCTTCTTCGACCTTCGTCTGCAGTAGTGGTTATATGGTGCCCAGTCTACTGGCGTATCTACCAATAAGACCTTTCTTACACCCATTCGAGTTTTGACATTTCAATAATTAGCAAGTGCGCTCAACCTTCAATAACGGTCACGTTTGCTTGCTTAATGAGCAAGTTAGTGATTGCTGCCATTGGCAACCAGCTGTTTCCTTGCTATGTTCATCGAAACGATATTTTCAAGTGGCCCGAGATATACACAAATATTGCCTCTTTACCTGGATCTAACTGTAAAGTTGTGATTGACCGAAATAGTTCATTTGAAGGTTATGCCAGTTATTTCCTTGTGCTGGAACCCATCGCAGATTTATTGCGTAGTACAATACTAACCTCGTCCACAGGTCTCTCTCTATCTTCAATGTGAACCTGAATGAATTTAGTTATTTCAAAGTCGCTTGGGCTTCTGAGTATATACGAAAACCAACTCTCACTCTCTTTGAATGCAGCAATCTCTGTTTGAGAGGGGAAATGCTCGAAATTCTCCAAATCTTTCTTCACTGAGAACGAGAGAGTGAATTTGCCAAATGACGTTGAAAGTATTTTGTGTTTATGAAGGGAATAGTTCTCCTACCTGCTTAACAGCAGTGAAAATGATAAACCCGAATCATACACAAGACCTCGAAAGATGCAGATGAGATAAGCGTTCCATTCCCCAACTGGAATGAACTTCGAATTGCGATTGGCCGCTTAAAAAATAACAATGTGCTAGAAGCTGATAGATTACCGGCTAAGTTGTCTTAATTCAAGCAGAGTGGCGCTTTGTAACCGTTAAAGCGATTTCCGGCCGAGCTCCTCCGCCAATTTGTGGTATGCGCCTTTCCAATAATAAATAGAGGGACCCACAGTTTATATTTATATTTATATTATGAGGAACCTTTATTTCTTAAAGTACACTGACAGGGGCTGACATTCCCTGCCGATAGGCTACCGCAATCAGGAAAATTAACTTAATCGTTTATTTAAATAATGAATAATTTTCGAAGTAATAAATCATTTATTAAGTGCAAGCACTTAACTTATATTAACTAATTGTGGCATCTGAAAAAAACTTTCACCTCACCTTTGGCCGAGCTTCGTGGCTTATGGACGCTTCCATAAGGACGTTCGCATATTGACTAGACTTACTCCGAAACAACTTTTAGGGAATCGTGCAAATTTCTTACCGAATAAATGGTTTAGTTCGTGCGCCATACCACGCGCTACGTGTAATATTCGGTTGATATAATCGCCCAGCAAAGTAGATAACTTGAGCAATCACGGAATAGAATAAATCGCTGGGGAGCGGAGTATCGTAAAAGACCCGAATGGGCTCATCAGCTATCGCTGAATTGAACTTGTGAACATTGACTTTTTGTAAGATTTTGCTAAGAGTCTTTATTTGCGGGCTTAAAAAATCTAAATCGTGCAAGAATTGAAGCCAAAGGACACTCGTGCACGTCGCACGTCTGGTGATTGGGCCCAAAACGAGATAGCCAGCGATCCCAATTTTCACAAGAAAATTTTGTTCAACGATGAAGCTCACTATTGATTGAATGGTCCCGTCCTTAATAAAAATTCGTGTTTGAGTCATTATTGAGACGCCACTTTTCCCCAAAAAATCAATGTTATTTGTGCTCTTTAAAAGAGAGTATCATTGATCCATATTCCTTCAAAAACGAAATCGGCCCTAGACATAATTGACACTTTGTAACGGCGAAACGATATTCAGCCGACCGCCTCCTCCACTTCACTTTGAAATTTGTCCAATAAATGGTGGAGCCTAAAGTTTTTTCTGCGCAGCCGATGGTTTTTTATGAGGAGCTTTTATTTCATTTCAGAAATATACTCGGATACTGCTGAGGCCGACCGCGAGTGGAAAAATTAATATTCCATAATTTTGGAATTGAGCCTGGTCTTCAGAATGGCAGTACACAATGCATCCAATTGTCTATTGTGGCTGCCATGAACGCTGTAGAGCAATGATTAATGACTTTTTCATTCCAATATTAGAGAGTGTTGATGTAAACGACCTTCGGCTCTGACAAGATGGCGCTACTTGCCATGCAGCGAATAAAATAATCTATTTAATTAAGGACACTTTTGGTTCGCGCATTATGCTAAGTCGCGGGCTTGTGGTGAGGCCTGCTCGTGCAATTTTAGATCGCTGGACTACTCTTTGCGGGGTTATGTGAATTCTCACACAAACACAAAACGATTGACGCTTTGGTAGTGAATATTCGGCGAGTTGTTGTTAAAAGTTTAGCCGCCCGGCTGGAATTCATTCGAGCCAACCGCGGCAGTCTGTTGGCCATTATCATTTTAAAGCCTTAATGGCTGACCCTTATCTTTATATAAAAATAAAGTTAAATTCTTGGTCATAACATAAAGATATAAGCTCTTTTATTTCTGTTTGAAAAAAAAAAATTCCCAAAAAATCGCCCTTTATGCATTTTTGTCTCAAAATAATTTTAAAGCAATTCCCATTTGATGCTAAGATCATATTGAAAATTTTTTCATTGGATTTTGTATTTTCAGGGGGTGGAACCCAAGCCCAACGCAGAACCGCATGGGATTCGCCTTCTCACTTAAGCTCGTCTCCAAACGAATACTTGTTGGCTACACAGGGGATACATGGTCCAGGACCGGAAGTCGTGAGCTGCATCTTGAACCATATGCAAAGTCATCGTTTCTGCCTGGCCCATCCTCCAAAATCATATACTACCTTCGAAACGGATTGTGATACTCTGTCCTTTGCTTTCTCCAAAAAGGCTAAGAACTAGTCCCAAATACACTAGTTTCCAACTTATTATAAAATGATTAACTACTTGCAATGGGAGTCAAAACTAGTTACAAACTGGTCTGAAAGTGATATCAAATAACTATAAATTGATTTTGGCTTAGTTTCGAATTAACTTTTTTATGTTTGTTGGCTTAATAAATGTTACCAAGCGATACCAACCGATTTATATGTACACATGTATATACGTCACAACATTTCCAAAGCTTCGCTAAGCCAAAAAATCACTCTCGCTGCGTACGATTTATGCATAAACAAATAGACCGGCAACTGCTTCAAAAAAAAAATAAAATTAAAATAAAATAAAAAAACAAAAAATATGTTTATATATATATATATATATATACGAGTATATGTATGTATGTTTGGTAGAAAAAAACATGAAAATTCTAAAATACAAAAAAAATTTTATAACCGTATATACCGATATATTAGCTAAATAATAATAATAATGATTCTTGCAAAAACCAGTCAAACATCAAATCAATAAAGCACCAAGTCAGTAGGTAATCTATGTATATTTACCCATACTCATATGCGCATACATATTCTAAAAATATTCAACAAACCCAATTATTGCCAAGTAAATATGACCAGCCAATATTAATATAGTTATTCATTATTCCAACAGAGTACGAGTATTTGTAAACGACTTTTTTATTGTTATTTAAGCAGTGTTTTTTTTTTCATTGTTTTTGCTTTTATAATTCTTGATTTTCATTTATTTACTTCACATCTGTCTCGTCGCCGTACACTTTGGTGAGGCGGTGCAGTGAAGTGGGTGTGTGGACATGCTCACTCGCGCAGCACAATACCGTCCCTGTATCGCGGATCGCGGTAGACATTTTTGCAATAAAAACCACTGTATCTGTCGTTTAGAATTTTAGAAGCTCTCAAAGCGATTTGCAGTTGTGTTGCGCGTGTCTCGAGGTGATCGCGGATTCCCATTCAAAATTTTAGAACACGCAAACGGAAAAATTACTTTGCGACACTCAAGCAGCGTAACAAAACGAGTCGACCGACAGATATCAAGCAGCAGGGGAAAAAAAAGAATAAAAAAATTTTGTGAAAGTGAAAAGAACTTGCATTGATAAAAAAAAAATGTTGCGTGTGTCCTTTGTATTGGCGTTGCTGCTGTGCCTCAATGGTTGGTGTGCAGCGCAGATCTCGGTGAAAGCTGAGTTACCAAAATTGCCGGAGTTCAAACCAGTCACCGAATTGCGTGAGTGTCCTGTAAATGCAGTAATGTTTTAATGCGATAAGCTTTGAATGACAGTGAATTATAATTTAGTGAAAATTACAATTGAAATTCGAGTGAAAATTTGAGATAAAAATCAGTAGCAAATCTTAAAATTAATATATAATTTCTAAGCTGAAATGCAAATATTCAAGTTGTTTAGTGCAAGGCAAGCGATAATAGAGTGGTTAGCATTGCTTACTGCCATTCGGAAGACCTCTGTCCTGGTCTGACCAACACCCAAAAACCAAGAGAAAATTTATTTAATTAAAGAATTAAGTTTATTTTCTAATTGCGGTTGCCACTCGGTTGGGAGCAGCAACGCCTCTCTTCTCTTATCTTTAAAAAAAATACCCAAAAAAATATTTCAGCCATTCGCAGGCGGCTTAGTATAAACTGTAGGTTTCTCCATACCTTTGTTGGAAAATCATCAAGGCGCACACCACAAATTGAAGGAGTTGCTCGGCTACAGCGCTTAAATAGTATATATATATATATATACAGCGCGTATTCCGTCTGGCGGTTTCGAAAATAATCGTATGAAATTCCTTGTTTTGTTCCAAAGTTTCATGTAAAGATATATATATATATAGCGCCACATCATTGAAATGACTGCCTGGCAAATTTTCGCAAACTTCGAACCGCTTGAGATAATTTTCGACCACTTTTCCGCGCATATTGGGCGGTTTATATACCTTTGAGGAATGTTGGTTTTGAAGTGCCCAAAAGTTGAAGAATTATCCGCTTAAACACGATATTTCGCATAGCTCACAAAAAAAAAAAGTCCAACGGCGTCAAATCACACGGTCTGTAAACGAGATATTACGCATTCGTGAAATTTCACTCGCAATAAAGCCATATTCGCTCGTGTTGTATGGCATGAGGTACCATCTTGTTGAAATCACTCATTGTCCAAGTCGTGCTCTTCAAATGCAGTTCAAAAATTGTCGGCTATCAGACGACCATAACGCTCTGAATTTACATTGATGTTCTCGCCGTGGCCGTTTTGAAAGAAGTAAGATCCAATCACACCTCTAGACCGAAGATCGCATCAGACGTAAATTTTTTCTTGGATTTAATAGGCTCTTTTCAATTATCTAAGGATTCTCGGAGCACCCAAGTGCAACAACTTTACTTATTCATGTATATCCCGAGTGAGAAATGCGTCTTGTCACTGAAGAAAATTGTGTTCGATAACTCACCGTCATGTTTAAGCACACAACTGACATATGAACTGCGTTGTAGACTGGACTGGACTTTCTATGGATGTAGCTGTAAGTCTAAGTACAGCGTACACCATAGTGAGTCGTAAGAAAGTCCCAGCGCTTGATAACGTTGAGAACTAGACACATGCCGATCTTCAGCTACACTCTCACTTACCTTGGAGTTATATGAGGAGGAAAGCGCAAAACGATGATGCGCAGGCCTTACAGTATCCTTAGCCGATCCGAACATCTTTAAGATATTACCAATTCCTTAACTAGTTGGTCAATTATATGCACCATAATTTTTAAACTCAATGCACTAAAGTGCCTCTAAAATAGTCCTGCACAGGGATCTTCGTTTCATTTACAAATATATCTACTGTGTTGCTGAGTTAAGAAGAAGTTACTTACTTACTATTTGTGTGATGAGAGGAGATCTTTCGTCTTGCCTTCGTTCGCTACGAGACCCATATCCTTCGCTTCCTTATCCAGTCTGTTGACGCTAATAATACCAATATCATCGACTCAAGCCAGCAGCTTTACACTTCTCTATTTTGCACTACAAGCTCGTATTATTTTCTTCAGTAATAAATTAAAGAAGTCACACGATAAGGAATCACCCTGTCTGAAACATTATTTGGTAGCGAACGGCTCGGAGAGGGCCTTCCCCATCCTGACGGAGCTTTCATCCGTAGAAGCCGTATAAGTTTTGCGGGATACCGAGTCAGACATAGCGGCTTAGAGGCAGCTCCTTTTCGTGCTGTCGAAGGCTTCTTTAAAATCAAGGAAGGGGGAGTGTATATCTGTTCCCGGGTCTTTTCCAAGATTTGGCGCATGATGAATATCTGGCCAATGGTTGACTTACCAGGTCTAAAGTTCGCTGATTAAGAACCGTAGTGTTCTTTAATTGCATACGTTCTGTCTAACTTAGAAAGAGTAAATATTTTTCAACAAAAATGTAATTACTTTTCACGTGATAGCTCGATAAGGGCTTACAAAGGCCACCATGCAATATTTCGAATAATCCCTTTAGGTCTACTAAGTTGGAGTGTTGGAGTTGCTGGAAGGGTTGGGCAGTTGGAAGTAATGCACATAATTTCTAAGAAAGCTTGTCATGAATATTCTAGAGTATAAACAACTCGAGAGATTTTTGTGATTTTCTTGAACAAAACATGAGAGCGGTCTCAACTATATTTGAGCCTTTAGAAAAATTTAATTGAAAAAGCAAAATGGTTTTGTCTAGACTTGGCGGCAGCGCTCTTGAACAATCAAAAACGATAATGTCGAAATTTAAAAATCTATGATAAATTTTTATAAATAAATTGAAAAAATGATAAAAAAAATTTGCAAATCATATAAATTTGAGTTTAGTAAGAACCTATAATGTCCGCCGAAAATCGCTTCAGCCGTTACAAAGCACCTCCTATATATTTATGTAAATAAATCCATAAATCTGTTATTACTAAGTATAATGACCACCATAAACTATAAAAAAAAATTATAAATTCTACGCAATTACTTACTGTAATTGAAAATCTATGTCAATAAAGATTATGCAATTTATATCAAATGACCGGGTCAATCAAGGCGGGCCGGTTGAAAAGAATAATCATTCAAACATACGTGCTTTTTATATATGTATGCGTAATTATATCAATGTTGTTTTATTTTTTTTTTTTGTTGAGCCATGCAGGGGCTAACTACATTGTGGAGATATAAATTAGTTTAGATAATCAATGTAATTATTGTTCAATGAAATCGTGCCTATTAATATGAGTTAGTAGCTGGGCAATCAACCATGGCGAGCAGTTAGTTCAGAATAACGTACAGATTTGTGTATGTATATTGTAAATGAACGGTACTTAGTATTCACTTTTTAATGCTTCTATACATAAAAGCGCAATATATTATATTTTGCAATTAATCTTTTAGCTAAGATAGGTTATGCCGGCTTACCAGACGGGTTTTCATAGCTGAACTGGGAGCTCAGTGGCTGGAAATAAAAATTAATTAACATTAAAACATAAAACGCAGTTAAATTACATATAAAGTATGGTAAAAAATAAATTCTAAATTCGCAAATTACAAAAAAATTAAATAAAATACGACAAAACAAAATAAAAAGTTAAAATATCAAATTAAATATAAAGTAAAATAATATAAAATAAATTAAAATTTAAATTAAATAAAATCAAATTAAAAATAAATTAAATAAATCAAACGTTCAAAAAATTTTAAAACGTAAATAAAATATGAAAACAATTAAGAAAAAACTGAATTAAAATTAAAATAATGTAATAAAATAGAAAAAAGTATAGTAAAAGAAAATTATCTATAAGAAAATGAAACGAAAAATTAAATAAATAAGGAACTCGTATAAAATATAATATATTTAAGTAATATAAGAGAAGAGAGGGACATAAATTAAAAAGAGTAAATTAAAATAATAAATTAAAATAAAATTAAAATTCAAAAAAAAAAAAAAAACAAAATAAAAAAAAATAAATTATATTTTACATAAAATGGCGCTTTGTAACCGCTGAAGCAATTTTTCGGCCGAAAAAAAATAATTAGATAAAGTAAATAATGAAAAGTAAAAAAAAATATCTTATTTATCATGAAACGAAATTTAAGTAAAATGAAATAAAAATAATCAATTAAAAATAAGTTAAAACGAAAAGCAAAAAAAAATAAAAAAATTAAATTTTTAATTAAAATATAAGAAAGCAAAATAAGATAAAGAATGTTTTAAATAAAATTAAAACAATATATAAAAAAATAATAGTTATAAAGAAAAATGTATAGAAACTGAAAAATTAAAATTAAGTAAATCAATATAAAATAAAATGAAATAAAAAAAATATAAAGTAAAATACAATAAAAAATATAAAAGAAGGCAAAGCAAAGTAACTTTACTTTACTTTAAATCAAATAAAAAAAATTGAAAAATATAATAAAAAAAGTAAAATAATACAAAAAAATAAACAGAAAAATAAAATCAAATTATACGAATTAAATAATAATAAGTCAAAATAAAATAAATTAAAGTGAAATAAAGTAAAATACAATAAAATAAAATGAAATATAATAAAATATAGTAAAGTAAAATAAAATAAATTAAAATAAAAATAAATTAATATTATATAAAATAATGTGAAATAAGATGAAATAAAATAATTTAAATTAAAATAAAATAAAAAAGTATGAAAAGAATAAAATAAAAGAAAAGAAGATAAAGTAAAATAAAACAACACAAGATAAAACAAAATAAAGTCAAATAAAAAAGTTAATAAAATAACAAAAAAAAAATTAAGAAAAAAAAATAATGTAAAAATATAATGTAATGAAACATGTTAATTTTTAAATAAAATGATATAAAAATGATGTATAACCTAAAGGAACAAAAGAACGTGAAATAAAAAATATAAAAAAAAAAAATTAAAGTAAAATAAAATAGTATGAATCAAGGTATTTATTTCACCTTGATATATATAATATATATAAAAAGTTAAAATTGAAAATAAAGAAACAAATGAAACGAAATAATATGAATTAAAGGAAAGCCAACAATAAACTTTATCGAAAATAAATTTTTCTCATCCCCTTTGGGAGGTTCAGCAGCTATCTCATTGCCTTCGATACCCATACGACCAGGCCCCCATGTTTTCGAACAGTCTTTTTATCGCCTCTTTACATAGTCATATGTATGAAAGTAAGACCTTAATGGCTGTTTGAAGAGAAATCCTTTGAAGGCCTGCACGCTGAAGTAGTTCGGACGCAATTTTTATCATCAAATATTTCGAGTTGGAAGATATTGTAGTAATTAAAAAATAGCGCAAACCTCAGACTTTTGATCCAGTCTTTCGCCTCTATTCCTCTGATATTCAGTTGTCCAGAAGCTTATAGCCTCGCCCCGCTTTTAGTTACTGGGTTTGTTGGTGGAATATTGAAAACCGCATGAAGCTGTGCAATTGGTGTTGCTTTTAGTGTACCGTTGATGTTGATCATTGTAAGTCAGGCTTTTCATATAATCCAGATGTAGTATTTTAAGTGAGAGATTCCAAGTGCAGCTCAATTTTGTTTAACCCGCATAGGCTGTTGCATTCTTCTTCTTAAATCTCTACGACAACTTGTTGTGGCTACAAATTTCATCTGTGGATCTCTCCCAAATTTAGTTAGATCCAAGCTGATGTTTTGTCTGCTCTTCAGAATAGAACCAGAACCTCTTTTATTAGTATTAGCCATAAGTCTTGCTGAAATAACACAGTTGTTGATGGTTCCAAGTTCCTGATTCTTCAGACATCCAAGAGTTGCTAACATTTATCGCCTAATAATTTCCAAATATTGAATTAGGAAAGAAGCGATCGATATTCCAAATATTTTGCATCCCGAACCATAACTACGATTTTTCTGAATAGATCGATCCCAAATTCACTTTCCGGAAGAAAAAGTGTTCCACATGTGAATCTATGCAAAGAGCTTCAATAGCTCAGAACAAAATTTCATGTCAATCGAACGATAATTTTATAAATATGATCTTATGTCCCAGGTTCACTTCTTAGAAAATTATTTCTTTTTGAATGTTTACCCATTAGCCATTTGTCGTTGGTCATAATATTAATGATAGCAAATAACGACTTAAAAATTAATAGCAATAAAAAAGTAAAACGGAACCGAAAAATAGTAAGAACTTGATAAAAAAAGATATTTGTTAGTATATATATTGCTTATAGTTTTTGATATAAAATAAATAATTTATTATTATTTTTTTACGTAACATATTACTTCCGGTGCTTATAAATGTTATAGTTTTTTGTTGCTTTTTCTTTACTGGCAAAATGAAACAATTTCTTAGCAGACCAACAAACAAGTTTACATTCATTCACATTTTATAATAGTTTAAAGCCACATCTGTGTGACATCAACGTTTGGAAGTTTTTTTTTTTGTTTTCATTGATAGCGTGCAAAAATATCGCATGTGAGAGGAAACTGTGGTGACATAAATTTTGCAATTTGCGAGCGCATGATTTAGTGGACCATGAAATCACTTTTTTTTTAATTAAGAAACAAATGAATTAAAAAGAATAATTTAATTATAATAATACTCAACCAATTACTATTCAATAATATGACAAAATAAAATAAAATAAAATAAAATAAAATAAAATAAAATAAAATAAAATAAAATAAAATAAAATAAAATAAAATAAAATAAAATAAAATAAAATAAAATAAAATAAAATAAAATAAAATAAAATAAAATAAAATAAAATAAAATAAAATAAAATAAAATAAAAAAATAAAATAAACTTAAAGTTAATAAAATTAGAAAAATGAATAAAACAACACAAAACACTATAAATAGACCAAAATAAAATTCAACTTTAGTTAAAAGATTAAATTGACTGCAGGGGAGAGGAGAGGAAAAACAAGTTTTTATTGATGTGACAGTGAACTAAATATTTAAGTTAGAATTTTGGAATGCTGATGACCTTAATTTACAATAATTAAATTCTGAACGGCACGTTTCACCGCATTGGAACTTAAAGGCAATTAAGTTGACGATGTAGCCTCGCTGTTATCTTTAAAAAATACATCGAAATAATTTAAGTATGCCAAGGATAAGTGATATAAGCCGCCGATACTACTAATAGAATTACGAATTGTAATTATTTATTCGCTTAGAATCAAATAATTTTAATGCCGAAAACATAATTTCTATATTTGAAATGAGAAACATACATTTTCAATTTAATGTGACTTAACTTAAATAATTTATATAAATTATAGTTTTTTTATTTTAATTTTTTTTTTCTAAATTTAATATATTGCAATGTAATTTAGTTTTGTATTTATATCGACTATAAAAACTTAATTTAATTAATATAAACTTTTTCATTTTTTTATTATTTTTCCCTACAATAATAGCCGCCGATATCCCCACTTGCGAACAGGGTGACATTAATATTAACGAATGCATTAAACGTGCCTTCCAGCAGCTGATGCCACGTCTAAAAGATGGCATCAAAGAGCTGAATATACCTCCTATGGATCCCTTCATCATTGAACGCAACAACATCGAGATACGGAGTAGTTTCGTTCAGGGACGTGCACAAATACGAAATGTGCGGGTATTTGGCATAAGTGAGGGCAACGTCCAGAAGGTAGACTTCCGTTTGGATGGCAATAAAGTCAATATGGGATTGGTCTCACATATGCCACGCCTTTACATAGAGGGCAATTATAAAGCGGACATGACACTAAACGAAGTAAAAATGACGCCAAAAGGATACTTCAATGTAACGATGAGTAAGTGAGATTTCGAAAATAAAATAAAGGAAGGAGAGGGAGAATGAAAATAAATACTTATTTCTTCTTCCCATTACACAGGTGATCTAACTTTGAGCTCTGAGTCGGAAGGTGAACTTTACGAGCGCGATGGTCACATGTATTTGAAGTTGACGAAATTCAATTTTGAACCGGAAATTGGTGATATGGCCCTTTACGCCAGCAATTTGGTGCCAGATCCGGCTTTAAGTGAGTATAAGAAGTTTACTAAAGCTAAATAAAGTCACATGAAATGAAAAGAAAAATTGTTAAGTGAACAATAAAAAATGACAGTATAATGAATAAAAGGAAAACAAACGATAATAAAATGAAATAAAAAGAAATCAAAAGAAATATAATTAAAATAAAAAGAGGAAACTAAAATTAAATGAAATTAAAAAAATAGAGCTTAATACAATTAAATACAATATAAATAAAATTAAATAAATTAAATCTAATAAAATAAATAAAATCAAAGCAAATCAAATCAAGTAACAAAAAATAAATATATATATGTTTATATATATTTTTACATGAAAATAGTAAAAAGAACCACAAAAATAGATAAAACATACAATAAAACACAACAAAAAATAAATTAAATAAAATAGAATAAAAAAAGATAAAATTAAGTTTAATAGTTTTAAGGAAAATAAATCAATTTAAAAGTGAAATAAAATGCATTAAAATAAAAAGAGCAAAATGAAAAAAAAACTTAAATGAAACCAGAGATAAATTGATTAAAAAATTAAATAAAAAAATACAATTAAATTTAAAACAAAAAAATTAAATAAATGAAATTAAGTAAAACACAAAAAATTATATGAGATAAAACAAAGTAAACGAGTACAAGGCAAAATAAAATAAAGAATAAATATGAAAAAAAGAAGTAAATTAAAAATAACAAACCAATTTAAAAAAAAATATAATTAAAAAATAAAAAAAGTAAAATTCAAAAATATTAATATATGAAATATATTAAAATAAAATTCAAAAAATTATATCAGGTAAAATGTAGTGGAAACAATAAATAAATTTAAATTAAAAATGAAATTAAATAAATAAAATTAATATGGTAAAATTAAAGCAAAAATTAAATAAAACAAAAAAATTAAAATAAGATAAACTGAAATTGTACTAAACAAAATAAAATAAAATAGAGAAATGAATTAAAATAAAGTAACATATAAATAGTAAAATAAAATTAAAACAATAAAACCAAAAAAGCAAATTAAAAAATATAAAATAAAATAAAAGAATGCAATGGAATAAAATATAAAACAAAATAAAGAAATGAAGTTAACTTAAATCAAAAAAAAAAAATTAATTAAATAAATATTAAACAAAGCAAAAACAATAAAAAAAATAAATAAAATAAGACAAATAAAATTAAAATAAAAAAAATTAATAAAATGTAAATAAAATAAAAACAATAAAAAATGAAATAAAATAAATTCAAATAAAATTAAAAAAAAAAACATTATTATATAAGTAAAATAAAAACAATAAAAAAAATTAAAATAGAATTCTACAAAATAAAATCAAGTAAAATGGAATAAATACAATAAAATAAATTGAAATAAAAAAAATTAATCAAAATAAATTTAAATAAAATAAAAAATTTTAATTAAAAAAATTGTATTAAACAAAACAAGAACTATAAAAAAATGAAATGAAATAAATTCAAATAAAATTTACATAAAAAAATAAAATTTATTTAATAAATAAAATTAAAGCAATAAAATAAATTAAAATATAATTCTACAAAATAAAATCAGGTAAAATAGAATGAAAATAATAAAATAAATTCAAATGAAAAAACTAATTGAATTAAAATGAAATAAAATAAAAAATGAGTTAAATTAAAATAAAATGAAAAAAAATATTAAAACCAAATAAAATATATAAAGAGTGAAATAAATGCTAAAACAAGAGTAAGAGGTAAACTTTCATTTCATTTTAAATTAATTATGTTATTTGTATTATAGTTTTTAAGCTTTTGTTTTCACTTTCGCAATTTTAATTTTTTTTTATTTTTCCCTACTTTTAGATGCCGTCATTTTGGACTTTGTCAATCAATACTGGCGTCAAGTATATAAAGTTATGTTACCACAAACGCGCAGTACTTGGGAGCCAATGTTTTTGAAAGTTATGAACTCATTCTTGGCTGCTGTACCATTTGATTTGTTTATTAAAAATAATTAAATATTTTATTGTAAAATACTCAGGGATCGCATAATTGTTCCGGATAAAATATATATACCAATTTGTGTACATAAAATTTTGTTTGTATATTTAAATAGTGCTAAGATTATTATTATAATAAATATATATATATATATATATACAAATATATGTATATGCATTTAAACTGTGAAATCATTTTATATCTACCTAAATATATACACATAAATATATAATTGATACTGCGTAATCGCTGGAGGGGTTTTCTATACACAATCGGCTCGATATCGAGAGATTCCTAAAATTTCCTTACCTTTAGGATTTGGCTCATTTTTATAAAATATTTACTTTTGTCAATCGAAATTTGAAATAAATTTTTAGTTCGAAAAAATGCAATATGGGTATGAATGTGAAGGCCCGAAGAAAAAAATATTTTTTAACCAGGGTTGCCGTATTGAATAAATTAAAAAAAAAATATTATATAAATCAAATTCAAGTATCAAATGAACAATGAATATTAAATTATTCAAAACTCAAAAAATATATATGTGTTAAAGTCAATTACATTCAATAATACAGTATGGATATGAAAAAAAAATTCAGACATGAAAATTCATACTACTTATAGTTCAAAGGAGGTTGCCACTTATTTGAGAATTTTAATAAAAATAGTCGAAATATGAAAAAAAAAAATTAAAAAGGTGTTGCCAGAAGTTTCAAATTATTTATTTAAAATGAAATTATAAAATAAATAAAATATTTATTAAATGGTGCTCATCAAATCAAGAACCAAAAAATATTCATATCGGAAAAATCGTATAAAATATGCATTGAATTATTTTATTTTTTTTTCTTCATTTATTTTATATCAGTTTCGCTTACATTTGTCAGTGGAGGGTTGCTAAAAACATAATTTAGAAATGGCTTAAAATTTTTATATAGTCTAAGAAAGCTATTATTTATTAAAAAGAAAAGGAAAGGAAGGTTTATTTCCCAAAAAGATATATAATTGATTCAAAGAATATAAATGAAAAGTTTTAGGCGGCATAATATTTTAGATATAATTTTTAAAAATTCCCACATTTCATGGGCAAATAATGATAAAACTTTATGACTTAAGAAATGATATGGAAAACTCAAAAATTATGTATCTGATGTTATTATTTTTTTTTGATAGACTGCATGCAAACCAAAGAAGCACTCGAGCGGCATCTATCGCTTTAATAGAGACAAAAGTATGTGCGCGGAATTTTAGCTCAGTTTTTGAGTTTAATATCGAAAAGAGTAACAGTCAGCTTTCACCAAAGAAAGGTTGTGGCCTTTACTAATTTCTTTAAGGTATCAATTTGCATATTGCGTCGTTTTAAAGGTAGGTGGAGAAATGTACCGTACTGTTCACTCATGCTAGTATATTTGTGTTCTTCTGTGTATATGTATATGTAATATATATATATGTATATGCATAAATATAAATACATACTAGAATGTGTTGTAGCAAATAAAAAATGGGGATTAAATAAAAAACAAAAAGTTTCCTATGAATATTTGCTTTAAAAACTTACTACTTGTAATATCAAACATACAAAAATACTATGACCCAAAAAGCAGTTTTCTGTACAAGAAAAATATTTTCTAAAATATTTAAAGCAAATACATTTTTATTTGTTTGCTTAGTTTTCACGGTTCGGAATTATTAAAACTATTTCTTTCCCTGATGATTTCAAAAAAGTTAACGGCACATCGATAATTTTAATAATTTTGATCGTGATATTCACAAGCTGTCATCTGTATCGCAACATTGAAATTTTACAGCCTGTAGAAAAGTGATAGCCGATTAAGAGGGACTCCTCACCGAAATAAAATTAATAAATAAAATAAAGCAATAAGCTAAAATAAAATAAAATGTTATAAATTAAAATAAAATAAACTAAAATTTAATCAAATAAAATGTAATATAAAAAAATTAAATAAAAAAAATAATAATAATAATGCAATAAATAATAATGCAAAATAAAAAAATAGATAAAATAAGATATAATAAAAAAAAAAAATAAAAATAAAACATATAACATTAGTTAAACAAAAATATTAAGCCAAACGTATAGTATAACCTGGAAAAAAATTAAATACGGTTAAAGAAATGAATTCAAAGAAAAAAGAGTATATAAAAATAAAATAAAAATTAAATTAAATGGAAAGAAAGGAAAACTGAAAGTAAAATTACATGAAGTGTCATAGAAATAGAATAAAATAAAACAAAATGAAATTAGAAAGAATTTAATGATATAAACTTAAATAAGCAGCATCAAATAAATATATTAATATATTACAATACAAAATAATAAATTGAAACGAAATAAATTAAATATAAAGATAAAAAATAAAAAAACTTAAAAAATATAATAAACACTAAAACATGGTAACATGTTATATTTTATGTATCAAATAAAATAAAGTAAATTAAATGAAAAATATGGTAGAGTAAATTATATTAAATTTAATAAAATTAATTCAAATGAAATAAATTTGAATCGAATTGAATAAATTAAAATAAAACAAATTAACTTAAAAATAAAAGAATTCAATAAAAAAAATATATATAATATTATATTATATAAAATAAAATATATAAAAAAATGTTATAAAATAAAGTATAAAAAATAAAAAAATTATAAAATAAAATAAAAGAATAAAGTAAAATATATTTGAAATAAATAAATTAAAAATAATACAATTAAAGAAAAAAACTAAAAAGACTATAAATTAGTAAACAAATAACAAATAAAAAATTAAATTAAATAAAGTGTAATAAAATAGTTTAAAAAATAAAAATTACATTTAAATAAAATACAGGGAAGGGATAAATAGATAAGGTTTTTAATGATTTATAAAAAAAATAATACGAAAATAAAAGTACAGAAAAATAAAATTAAATAAATTAAAATGAAGAATTAAAAAAAGGTAAAATTAGCCAAAAACCAATGAAAAAGGAACAAATCAAAAAAGTTAAATTAAGTAAAAAAGCATAAAATGAGACTAATTGAACTGAAGTAAAGTGAATTAAAATAAAAAAACGGAGTAAATAAATAAGCATAAAATTCATGAAAAAAAACTTTTATAAAAAATAAAAAAGAACTACTAGCCACATTGGACGTTCGAAATGCTTTCAACAGTGCACAGGGGAAGGGTATGATCGAAGTCTTAAAGAATAAATGCCCCATACACCGGTATCTTAGACAAATGATAAGGAGCTACCTCAAAGACAGAATCTTTCTCTACCAAACTACCGACGGGCAGCGAAAATACAAGGTGACGGCAGGAGTAGTGCAGGGCTCTATTTTCGGACCAGACCTCTGCAACGTCAGCTACAATCGCATATTAGACCTTGAGATGCCTGATAACACATATCTTGTGGGATATGCTGACGATATTGCCGCTATAATCACCGCGCCCGACACGGAAGACGCACGCAGGAAGTTAAATCAAGAACAAAAATGTGGCTTTACCAACGCGATCTCAAACTCGCAACAGAAAAAAACAAGTTGCTGCTATTAATGAGGAAACACATACCTGTTTAAATAGACATGCAGACAATCGCGGGTACAATGAGGTCAAGAAGAGTTGTTAACTATTTGGGTGTAAGAATATACCCTAGATTGAGCTACTGGGCACAAATCTAACATGCCAAAGTCACTTCTCAGCTTAGTAGACCAATGGCTAAAATAGAAGGTTCAACTCAAAAGAAAAAAGGAAGCTTATCATGGCGGCAACCCTTAACACCTTACTGCATGGAGCCGAGCTATGAAGAATAATAATAGGCAAATGGTATTGTCCAAAGCATACCGCACGGCGGCTTTGCGGGTAGCGTCGGCATACCGTACAATATCAGGGAAAGCTACAGCTGTAATAAGCGGAAGCATTCCCATCGACTTATTGGCAGTCGAAAAGAAAAGAAGAACCACGGATGCACTGTCAATACAAACAGAGAGGACATAACGATAGAAGCCCTGATCCAGTGGCAAGCCCGATGGAAAGAAGGAAGTCATGGCCGATCGACGGTCAGATTAATAGCAGACGTAAGAATATGGACAACTAGAAAATTCGGGCAAGTAGACGACTACATTACCAAGATGCTGTCTGGTCGCTAACGAAGATCACGTCGAGCATACAATCTTTCAATTCACTCATTGGCAAGATGCCTTGAATCCGACTTGAAAACACAGTTGGAGAACTAAGGGTAGATAATATTGGCTCAATTATGCTACAAAGGTAAAGGAGTTCGCAGAAGAACTACTATGAGCAAAAAAAAAAGTGGAACCTGGTGGCGAGATATAATCTCACTATGAGAAAAATGGAACGCCACCCTAAGGTAATACGAAAGCGGTTCCCTAGAGGAGAGTTTTTTAGTGACGAGCAAGTGGCACATAACATTGGTGTGACGACACAATGATGATGCGGAAGGCATTTTTCTTCTCCTCACCCGAAAAAAAATATTAAAAGATTAACCTGTAAAACATATAACAATAAAGTTGAGGTAAAATTAAATATTATAGAATAGGGTAAACATAAATGAAAAAAAAAACTTAATTAAATAAGATAATTTTATAAAAACAATTTATAATTTAATATTAAGTAAAATTCAAGAAATGAAAAAGAAGAATAAAAAAAGGTTGTATAAACTAAAAAAAAACAATAAGAGACAAATATAAGAATAAAAGGAATTAAAATGAGTTAAATTGAAGTGAAATAAAGCGAATTAAAATAAAATAAAATGAAAAAATAAAAGAGATGAAATAATATATATAAAAAGAATAAAAACACAAAAAAATATTGAAAAAGTGAAAAAAATGAATAAAATATTTTGTGTGATGAAAAAAATGAATAGAAAATTAAAAAAGTAATTGATTGATTTCAATGAAAATTGAACCAAAATTTTTGTAAAAAGCAATATTAATGATCATAAAAATGTTTTTATTTCCCTAAAATTTTAATATTAAAACACAAGTACGCTTAGCCAAAACAGAAATTGATAATATTAATTTCAACTAAAATTTTTAAATAAATTCAATATAATTAGCGTTTCGAATGCGGCACCCTGTGCAAAAAACAAATATGATCAGCAAATAATGGCTAAAGCGCAGCACTCAGAATTCGATTCACGGCAAAAGTGAGGAAATGTCACTTTTGCTAAAGAAAAATATTAGTCAATTAAAGCTTACTATTGTAAACTAAGCTATTTCCAAGCCCTAATTAATACCATTCTCAGTCAATGTGTGTTTTGAAATCACGGTTGGAATATATAAAAGTTAATTACGTTAATAATGTTTCATGCTGCAAAGCTTAATTGCACCACTAAAGTGCATACAAACTGAAAATAATTATAAAATAAAATGTAATAGTAAAATATTTGTAAATAAAAACGACAATAAATCAGCAGTTCAATCGATGGGCATAAGAAATGTGTGCTTTGATATAAATTAAAAGCTATATAGGGTCGCAAAAGCTTTGGAAGCGGCAGAAAATATGATGAGCGCATGTAAATCGAAATGTTGGTTTTGAATTTTTTTTTGATGGAATGTAAAAAATATGTATAATAATATAAAATTATTTATATAAAGACTGGCCTACCGGTACGCTGGGTATAAAAATAAATGCAGCTAAAACAAACTCAAAAGTTTTGTAAAAAAGAAAAAAAAAAAACAAAATATATCAACAACAACAAATCACCTGTGCTTATGTTGGCAGTTGGCCAAAAATGCAAATACTTTAGCAGAGCGCTTTTCGCTAGAAAAAGCTTTGCTCTGACAACGTTCGCTGTCGCAGCTCGGCCGCTCACCGCTCTTCGGCTTGCTGTGTCGTGCAGTATGCTTGTTGGATTGCCCAATATATTGAAGGCAGAAGCACAAGCGAGCTGTTATTGCTACTACTGCTCTGATTGTTGTTGTTGTTGTTGCTGCTGTGCTGTGTATTTCAAACGCTTGAATTTGGAGCTTTTGATGCTTATAAATTTTTTTTTAGTTCACTTTTTATGCTTTTTCATATGCACATACACACAAATATGCGAGTTAAATGATTTTTTCGCAGTTGATGCCAATATTGTTATTGTTTTTGTTGTTGTTGATTTTTTATATTTTTATATACGCGTTTGTTGTTTTTGCTGCAGTTGAGTAAAGGCTTTGGAAAAAATTGTGCAGTTTTTCGATTTTTATATAAAAACTATAAATAAACGTAGTTGCGGCTCATTTCGAGATTTGTAAGCGACGCGTTTGCAGGTTGGTCGAAAAAATAGAAATATTGTGGAAAATAACGGATTATTTGAAACCAAAAAAAAAAAAAAAAATCTAATTGAAATTAAAAACTCGTTGATTTTTGCTTGTTTTGGGTGAAAAATAAGTGAAAAATCGGTGATATTATTTCTACGAAACGAATTGAGGTGGTTTGAAAAATAAAATTGTGATGCGAAAGAAATGTTTAAAAACAATTTAAGCGTAGAAAAATTTGTAAATTAAGCTAAACTGAAATAATTAATTAAGAAATAGATTAATTAACAAATTTTGTGTGACTAAAAAGTTGGCCGAAAATGTAATGTACGATTTTTAAATTAAATTAACTGAAATTTCTTATTATAACTGAACAAACTAACGCTTCAAAAAATAAAAAATTAAACAAATAATTTTTAAAATATCGAAAAAAGTTAAAAACGTATAAAAATTGATATTTGAATACCGCACTACAGCAACTACACAAGGAAAACCGTTTTAAAAAATTCCAATTCCAAAAAAAAAAAAAAATTCCAAAAGCACGAAAAACAAACAAGTCAAATAAAAATGCATAAATCGTATCTTTTCTACTTTACCGCCATTGCGGCAATACTCGGAAGTGCAACGGCTGCAACAACATCGAATATCGCCACCGCTGCCGCAGCAATTTCGGACAACTTAGATGAGTATACAACCGTTGCGGTGCTGCCATCGGCCATAGCCGCCACATTAGCAGCAGCGCCAGCAGTAACAACACCACAAAATGAAAATGGGGCAATAGCAGCGCCGTCAATAGTACCAGTTCCTCAAGCTGCACCGCAACTACCAACGTTGGCCTACGATAAAGTGGGCATAAGCGATGGCGTGGAATTTAGTCCAAGTGAGTGGTTATAAATACTATATGAATTTATGTATAAATAAAAATAATAAAAAAAAATAATAAAAAATAAAAATAATAAAAAATAAAAATAATTGAAAAATAAAAATATTTGAAAAAACAGAATTTAATGCCATGTGAGTTCGCTCAAAATAAAAATAAAAAAATTTAAAAAAATATTTAATAAAAAAATAGTAAAAAAAAAAATTAAAAAAATCGAATTAAATGCAATGTGAGTTCGCTCAAAATAGAAAAAAAAACGGAAAATTGCAGTACTCGTGTAGCCGTTATTTAAATATTGAAGGAAGCTTTTTTAGGCACACTTGCTGTCTTACATTTTTGTTATTTTTTCGTTTTTTACACAATTCACTTTTTGTTTTTAGCGATTGCTTGCATTTTATGCCATGATTATGCAATTTTTATTTAGGCGAAAGAACTTGAAAATCAAATGCGCAAAAATCATGTATTATTCGTTTTTTTTTCCACAACAATTTACAAGCGTTTGGAGACGGCTAAGCAAAAAGAAAAACTTTGTTTACGAAAGCTGTCAAGCGCGTTTGTTACTTAAGTCTTTTGTTTACCTTACCTTACCATGCCTTACCTCATTGATGCGTATCATTTTTACGCGCGAAAGGTGGAACTAATAGTTTCATGTTTTCAATGTGTATTATAACTATAATCCAAATAAATTTTGCATATTATGAGTAGTACGGGGGATTTTATAATGTTGTTGTTGTTGGGGTTTTTGTTTTTGTGGGGAAATGCTTCATTAATGGAGGAAGGAAGTGTACTGAGATTTTCATAATCACATGTAATTTAACGCTTAATTGAGTCGAAGGTCAAAGCTAAAAATAAAGGTAAGTTGAAAGTAAGTAGAAAATTTAAATAAAATAATTGTTGAGACTTACTCGTATACAGGTAAAGACAGCACAAACTTAACTAGGAAGCCAAATTTTGTGTACTTTTTATCCGAAAAAGGCAATAAATAATGAAAAAATTTTTTATGCTTCGCTAAATCTGCACTAAAACACAGAAGTAGAATTCAATAAGAAGAGGGACAGGTATTTGAGGTTCATTATTATTGATGTCTCTATAAATATTTCAATAAGAATAGCCTATTGAGTACTGGTACAAAATTAAAAAAAAATAAATAAATTTAAATATAAAAATTAAGTTAATATTTCTAATTGCGGACATCCCTCTGTAGGGAATGTTAACTATTCTGAGTGTATTTCTGACATGAATGACATGAAAAGATCCTCATAAAAAACCGTCAGCAGTGTATGGAGGCGGCTTAGTGTAAAATGTAACACCACAAATCAGGGAAGGAGCTCTGCAGTAAATCGCTTCAGTGCACTGTGGCTCCAATGATTACTTTTCCTGGCCAAAAGTAATAACTTACAAAGCGGTTTTCCCCCAAGACATACATACGTAAATATATGTCTACAGATTTCTTTAAATTAATTTTTATTTAATTTTTCTTTTTTAATTTGTATTATCTTGTGTTATAACCCTATATAAATACACAAATAAACGTAAAAAAATAAATTTGAAAAAATGTGGTTTATGAAAATCAATTTTTTATTATAAAGTTTGCACCTTGCCATTATGTTGAAGGCACAAACTTCAAGCCGTTGAAGTTATTTTGCGAACACAATTCAAAGCACTTTGCCATGACAAGAAAAGATGGTTGTTTTTATATACTTATATTAATTAAAGCTTTATATATTTATTTATATTAAAACTTTAATATATTATTTTTTTTAAATAAAATTTGTTTTAGAAAAGCTTTACTATAGAAAATGAAAATTATAAAAGGTTTGTTTATTGAGACTGAAAATAGAGCAGAGCAGCTCAAGTTCGAGCAGAACAGAGCAGCTGCTAAGAAACACAAAAAAAAAACAATTAAGTTAGAGCAACTCGTAGCAAAAAGCTTTTGAAGCATTTTTTGGGAAATAATTTGCAAATGCGGAGTTTGACTTTTCTGTTGTAAACAAAATAGAAAATTTTTACAATTGTTTTCATATATAATTTCAAAAAATTTATTATTTTTATCATCACTTGTGTTAAAGTTATTTATTAAGGCCCATGAACATGCCATTCTTATAATTTGTCCACTTTCGTTTTCTAACCGCGTCTGCCAAAGAAAAATCTCATTCATCTCATGAGAGCAGAAAATCGTAATCGGAGTTGCTCTATTTCTGCTTAGAGCAGACTCATGAAACAAAGAGTAGTGCAAGCAAGAGCAAAAAAAAAGTGTCATGAAACATAATTTTGTGCGATAGAGTAACCTAGCGTAACCCAGAGCAGCTCAATAAATAACCGAATCAAGGCAAATTTTTAGAAGATGAAGTTATCAGATCATATTTTTGCTTGTTTTTCCCCCCATTTCAACAAATTACACAAACAAAATACATGAGAAATAGGTTTTAACATTACGAACGTTCGTTTACACAAATAAAATATATTGAATAATTTTCGTTTTTGACTTTTCGAAACTATGATTACACAAACAAAATACATAGGATTTTTGTTTTTGTCTTCTTACCTCTACCGTATGTGAATTTCCCTTGAACCTAATATCTAAGAAAATGAAAATATATGAAACTAACAATTCAGTAAAAAAAAAATTGAAAAATTGAAAATAACAAGTCTTAAATGGTAAAGTAAATTCCTACAACCACATATTGTGCAATTGGGAATTTTTTTTTGCAATAAAGCCATATTCGTTCGTGTTGTGTGGCACCATCTTGTTGAAACCACACATTGTTCAAGTTGCGTTCTTTAATTGGAGGTAAGAAAAAATCGGTTATTATACAACACAACGCTCCGGATTAACAGTGACAGCTTCACCATTATAGTTTTCTAGGAAGTAAGGTTCAATTAAACCTCCTGACCAAACAGCACATCAGTTAATGATCACCCTACTATTATTCGGGAATTCTCGTAGCCTCATATTTGATTGTGCCTCATTTTTGTGTCTAATCCCTGAAGGAAATTTTGTTAGGAAAATCACCGTCCACTGCTTGCTGTCCATGTGCCCAATCGATGTAAATACGGCATTGAGAATGGTCAGCTGGTTTCAGTTTATATGGAAATAGGTGTAATGCCAAGTGCCATAATGTGAGGTAAAGAAGTCACAGCTTTTGAAAACGTCTAAAAATAAAGACATTTGAATCTTCGGCTAAACTTTCACTTATTCTCTAGAGATATTTGAGGTTGAACGAACAAACTGATGAGTCAAAGGCCTCACATTATCTGTCACTGATCCAGTTTCTTCAAATTTCTTTAAAATGTTACCTTGATTACTCTTAAAGCACGAAATGTGATTATAAGTATCATCTTTTCAGCGGCTTTTAATAAGCGTTCCTTTTCCGTGAATGCCGGACTTTTAGCTAGAACAAAACATGATTGATTTGACAGTTAAATTTGTTAGATGTCAAAATTAAGTACTATACTTTTAAAACCACGAAATGGTTAACCCTGCCTATTTTATTATTATTATTGTCTGGAATTAAAAACTCAGTTTGGAATGAAACTAGGTGTAGCATGCCTCCAAGGGCCTAGAGAGAGTGTTATTAAAAATAATATTAAAAAAGTTGAAAAAATAAAAGGTAACTTTTGTAGTATTACAATATTTGAGGAGCTTTCTTTTTTCATCACATTCCATATGATACACCATTACGAGTTCACATAGTACAAAAATTGATTTGTGATAATTCTACAGTTGAACAAGAATTAAATGGTCTACATTTTGTAGGCGGACACGGATGCACTCAAAATATATATTGAGCTGTCCCAAGAGCAAGCGGCGATTTTTAAAAAGAAAGCAAATACATTTTTTTTATTTTATAATGAACTTAAATCAATTATGTAATTTCCATTTTGTTGGGTGACCTTTCGCCATCTATTTGGCAGCATCATTATTCCACTCTAATAGATGTTCTGGCCTTCATCTGCAAAAAAAACTGAACCAAGTAGGATTTTATAGCCTCGTCATTTGCGAAAGTCTAACCATTTAATAAACTCTGTAAGGATCGAAACAAATGGTAGTCTAACGGTGCACGCTCAGAGCAAATGGTGGATGCATCCACTGTGCTCAGCCACGATCTCCAATTTTTTGGCGAGTGACCAAAGATGCATTGCCTTAGTGAAATATGCCAGCTTTACGATTGACCAACTTTGATCACTTCTCATTGATGAACGTATTCAATCTGTCCAGTTGTTGACAGTAGATATATTCGAATTAATCGTTTGGTTCCTTGGAAGCAGCTCAAAATATACCACACCCTTTCAAATCAAACTTACAGCATTATCTTCTTTAAGTGAATATCAGCCTTTGAGGTGGTTTGTGGCGCTTCATCCTGCTTGGACCATGATCGTGTTCGATTGACGTTACTGTAAACAATCCATTTCCCACCTCCAGCTATGATTTGCTTCAAAAATGGAACATATTCATTGCGTTTAAGTTGCATATCACAAGCGTTGAAGCGGCTTGTTAAATGAATTCCTTTCAACTCATGTGGTACCCAAATATCGAGTTACCAGTACAAGACGTCTTATATGATTATGTAAAGTTGATTTTGGTATACTTAACTACCCTTCCTTCTCACGCTTAGTTACATGACAATCCGATCCGATTAAAGCCTTGATATCGTCATCATCAACTTCTCTTGGCCGAAGCCACGTTCAATCTTTGAATTAAAAAATCTCCCGAACGGAATTTGACAAACCAACTCCGACACCGTGTTTATTTTAAGGCTGGGTTATTTAAGGCCAAATTCTGCAACTTTTTATCAATCCTTTAAAGAAATAATAAAGTAAATTACGGCGAAAATATTCTTTTGTGGGCTCCATATTAAAATTGACTTTTGGTTGCAAAAAGTGTCCTTATAGATCACAGTGCAGTGGTTACAAAGCGCCAGTTATATAAAAATTCTATTATGCTTTCAAATACTAGTGGCTTCAATGCAGCTGAGGAGATAATGCAAGCTATTGGTGAC